AGTGAAGCGTCAGTGCCAACACCGATGTTTCTGTCTCTGGTAACGATAGTCGTTTTTGATAGTTCTCAAGTTGAGGCCTCTGTCTTTACTTGCAGATTGCTTTACTGTGCTATGTTATGCTGAGTGTACGCTTGTCCCGTTAAATCAGTCAGTTGTTAGTATTCATATATAAGTAGGTCCTTAGGTTCCTATAGATAGGTATGTATGTAGATTCTTATCGAACCAATTTTAGTACACAGGTACTTTGGCCGATGATAGCTCAATTCGAATCAAACCAGCATACACGCCTTTAGGTTCTGCAACTTATGGGGTTGGTAAACTCGTTTTTTCACCGAAGTTCCTTTCCAAACACAAACACAGCACTAGGTGACCCATTTGGTTCGGTTTTGCTTCGTTACTCGGTGCGTCCGTGCATATAGGCATTGTGTGAACCGCTGTTTCTGTTCACCTATTTCTCAGTTTATTATTTTATCTTCTTCCTCACAGCTTCGCCGAAATTTAGCGCTGCACTCCTGAACATAGACTTGCAACAGAGTAAGTCTCGTTAGTTATTTTCTTTGCCTTTGCTTACTGGTAGTTTTGCGTACCTTATGACAATCGGTGTGAGTAAATTAATTGTACGGTAGGCGGACTTTACTTTTGCATTATTCCGGCCGCATTTAACTACTTTTGCAATGAAACCCCGCAAACATACATTGTAGGTTGCGATACACATCGTAGTTGTCTGTGTTCCTTCTCCCTTCCCTCATGGCCGTTGCTCTTATTTTCTCTCCCATTGTTTCTTACAACGCAGCCGACAGTTTATAGAATAGCTTTCTTACCTTCCTTCCACTATCATCTAACCCATTTCTGATGTATGGAAGTATTTCAACTGCCATCTCGCTTACTGATTAGTAGAATTAAGAACTACTTGCACTTGATATAACAGGTCTTCAATGGTGCGTGTTGCTTAGGACACTCTTTATCCGTTTTTGGGGATGTTAATCTTTATGAGTGCTATTACTCTCAGCTCATTGATTTCCATATGCGAATATTATATGCATGCGGTAATAGCTAAGGAGAAGCACTTAAATGACTCCCTTCTTATGAGCTTTTTCTTCTTTTCTTATACTTCAGAAGCTCTTCCACTGGTTCTGGATCTCCTCAATGGAATTTGTAACGACTTCACCAGCATATTGCTTCGGGATAAAAATACATCCACCACTTGTAATCCGAATCATACATCCGAGCATTCCACACCCGTGCCGACAGTGTCGTCGGTCCTTCACCTAGTGGTTGGACGTCTCAACCTATTGGTTCTCTTATCCAAACGTGCCCTACTTACTTTGGAGCCATACAGCGATTTGCGGTGTGCCTTCCTCCGTGCAGTGTTTTATGTGTGAGCGATCGCGTTCCATTCCATTCGTTGCTATTTTTTGTGGGTTTTGCGAAAAGTCGGTTGGACGCTTCCTTGTTCTTCCTTAAGATTTCTCCGTGTTAATCCGAAACAAAGAAATTCGTCAACTGAACTTACTCTGGTCGCATGGCAGTACATGTTGCTATCTCTCATTCTGATTCCGACCCCATACAGGGATGACAGTGGCCAACCTAAAATACACAGCACCACTGTAGGCTATACAATACAACAGTTTCCACGTGTTTTCTGTCCTCCAACGTATGTGTGGTAGACCGTTTAATTTGATACGGCAGTGAAGCATCGATGTTAAACAC